GACCAAAGAAAGTTTCCAGAGCCAACGGCAAGGACCCTGCTCTCTATTGGCCCACTGTCACTACGCTTTGCCAATCGCGTTAATTCTTGACAGTTGTAGCGGACAGACAAGAGTGTCATGGAAGTATGTGATAAATGATGATATCAAACGTGGATAACAATGAAATGACCTACACGTGTAAATAACGGAAAAAGAACAGAGAAGGACCGTGAAGTGAAAATGTAAAAATAAATATGAAATTGAGTTGATAACATAATCGAACAAGTCGAGGCAGCTTATTGGCACGAAATTCACGGCCATCAATGCCAAACAATTGACGTAGACTTCGGAAAGCTAAATGCTTGTATTGAAAATCACTTACCGTGCACGGGCGAAAGCCTGGGGCCGTTTGGGCTACCAAGCTGTCTCGAATCTGTGAAATCATAACTGTGACTTATACCGATGTCCTATCTGTCTCTTTTCTCCGTTATCACCAGACTGAGTCACGTAATTGTAAAATGGGAACTCTACGACGGAAAAGTGACGAATCAAAAGTATCGTGAGTACGTATTATTATGTATGCATAGGCATACACGCATTAGAGAGATAGAGGAAAGAGAAAGAGAAGAGCAAGGACGAGCACTTAAAAAGAAGAATAGGCAGGGTCAGACCCTCAGATGTGCGAGAATTCTCCAACGATAGGCGTGTACATGTGCTGATCTTTGTACTTATAAATTGTGAATACATGTGACTAATATTATTTTCTTTTTTATTTTGTGCATGTTACAAGTTATAAATAAATATAAACAAACAACACTAACCCAACAATGTTAAATCTAAATACCAAAGTGATTAATTTACTGTATTTTTGTAATTATTACTCCTGTTTTTAGGTATTCGGTATTCGGCCGAATAGTGATTAAATATTCGGTATTCGGCCAAATAGTGAAAAATAGGCCAAATACCGAATAGTAACCGAATATTCATTACATCACTACTAGAAACACAACTGCATGACAAGTGGAAGTTGCAAGTCTGAGTCCCACTCCAAGCTGATAATTTTAATTTAGAAGGATTTAAAAGAAAGGAAATTTCAAGATGGCATCTTAACTGCCTATCTCTAGACAAGTTATTTTGAATGTAATCATTAACTTGACTCAATCATAGCTCAATAATTTGGCAGATTGTCTAGAGATAGAAACTAAATATGAGATAAATAATGCTGCTATTAAAATTATTTGAATCCTAGTTTATTTTGCTAAATTGAAAATATTTCCCATTAGTTAGATCAAACACGGATATTAGGCATACTAATGGCCTCTCTCAATAGATACTAGATATCTGTTGATAGCCTAATAGCATAAGTTAACAAATACAATGTGATAAATACCTGGTTATCATAATATGGCTCAAGATAAAATATTGAATAGTTGTATTGAGGGCTGAAAGCTAATTGTCATTTTAAACCTGAATAAAATTGATGTTAATTTACCCAACACTCCAACCTAACATACTTAATGCTAATTTTCTATTTCGAACTGAATGTCTCGCAACAATATTTATGTTTTCAATGTTTTCATTTTGTTATATTCCTTATCTTCTCTTTCAAATCCAATACACTATAAACTGAAAACTATCATTCACTTAAGAATACTCATATTCATCTGAATCCCAACAAGTACAATGTAGATAATGGATTTACTATTGTTTCAAATAGCAAATGTGAGAACTGCACACACCTGAAGTTTATTGTATTTTTAAGCTGAAGAGAAGTTTGAAAAAACTCAACATATATATGATGCCTTTGGGGTTGTATGATGGTAACCCTCTGAATCACATTTCTGAGGTAGTTTGATTGTTGAGGAATTTAAGAAAAATACTAAAAACTTATGATGATGATATTTTTGCTGTCCAAAACATTGCCTGTAGATGTGGCTATCATCTTATTGTTTTGGGATTTTTCATCTTAGGATTTTTTCAAACATTCAAACTCAATTACCTCAGAAACATGATTCTGAGGATTAGCATTGTACATCCCCAAGGGCTTCATATGTAAAAAATATGATTAAAGTTCAATTGGAATGACTACAAGTTTACATTTCATCATTATGCTAAATGATTAAACTTGTGAAAAAGTAGAACAAGGCCCACCACAGACAATATATCAATAAATAATTTGGCAATGTGCTGGAATGATTTCTGGCATTTATTCTGTGTGATATTTTTAGTTTTTTTTAATAAAATTATTATATTTTATTTTTAAATCTTTAAGTATACACAGTACAATATAAAAACTTTTTGTATACATGACTTACCTATGATACACACATACATACACCATAAAGCTTATAATGCAAAAAGAGTTCAGCAGTCAAAAGGAGACTACAATCTTACAAACTATCTATTCACCAACTTTCTCCACACCTTCCTATCAAGATACAGTTACATTCTCATCCACTTGTTCCAACCAAGATTTTCTTGGTTTCTCTTGAACAGTTCTTTTCCTTCCATTTCTCTCAATGTGGCCAAACCATCTTAGGACCAAATTCCTTGCCTTTTGACCACATTCTCTTTCATCCAAACTCTTGCAGAACATGTTCATTTCTCACATAGTCTCTTCTTGCTATGCCAAACACTTCTATGACTCTTCTGCCATACACAAGCACAGGAACCACAACACTTACATACACAAACATTTGTGCTTCTTTGTCCTTTTCTCCCTTGCAAAGCTACTCATTTTACCTATGATAAAACCTTGAAAATTATAAAATAGCTTGATACATTGCAACAGTACATTACAATCCAGATTATAAATGATCCTGAGCAGTATACAGGTGACTACATTTAAATGGATTATGTAAATATGCAAAAAACTAATTAGAAATCACCACATTTTACCTACAAAAGAAATGTTAATTTGATAGATAAACTAAATATAATATTTATTTACTTAGATGATATTTCTAATAATTTATGTTTATTGGCTATTGAAAATAGCCATTACAGGATCAATGAGATGACATTTATACAATTAAATGGCAATAAATAGGTGACTGATTATATGGCTATAATTTAGTCTTATTGGTGTAAAGTACTATATTATTTTTCCGACTTTCCAATGATTATCGACACTACTGTGTGCCGGAAATAGCCGTTCCCTAACGGGTACTTTACGCGGATTCGCGTTAGTGTGCCAGGCCTGGACTTTAAGCGTGCACCGAATTAAATAATGACAAAGTTTGTCAATAACAAAATCAAATATTTAATTAAACTTCTAGTAATAAACTATATACAGTATTTAGTAAAAATCAAACAATAATTTATTCAATGAAATTCAACAGAATCAATCCGACAAACTCAAATCAATCTATTTCTAACTTAATTCTATTCCCCTTTGGAATTCGACAAAATCAAAGAATTAACTTATAAACAATAATTCTTATAAATTAAAGATCCTAATCGTCACCTC